TTGAGATATGTTCAGGGTGATTTATTTTTTTAATATCATCTGTGCCAAAGGAAGTGTTTATCTTTAAGACTTAATCTTTAAAAAAGCACACTTTAACAATTGTTTATTAACTAAAAAAAACTTACTAACTGTATAATTTCCTTTCCCTGGACCTAAAAAATCGTAGTTTGACTAGTTCTATATAAACCAGATAGCTTGGATCCCTTTGTATTTGGATATATATTACTTTGAACTTTAAACATTGTACATAAGTCATGTGAGATTAGATTATGATTGAAACGGCTTTCTTTTGCATCTTCTGTATAGCTTTATGGTTGTTAATCTCATTATGATTTGAAATGAATGAGTAAGAAGTATATCGACGCGTTGCCGTTTCAATTACCTTTTTGTAAAAGGGCACGAATACATTCACAATCAATTGGGTACTTTAGAAGGGGAATAGAAAAATTAATTTGTTATAACATGCGATTTGGAAAACTTAAAAATCAAAGATAAGATATTTTTCGTACAAATTTTATTTTGTAGGAACCCGGTGCATACGGGTGCTATATGAATGTTGTAACTTGGGTCTCAAATGATGGAAGCAGATCTATTTAATCATTATTATTTAAAAAAAGGACTTCTTTTTTCTTTGTTCTTTTGCCTTGCGTGTTTTTCTGGAATATTTATGTATATGTTCACAAACGAACTTTCATTTTCGAGAGAACCAGTTCGCGTCCAGTAAAAAAAATTACCGAATGACGCACGGGGTTTTTCATAAAAGAGCAGAGATTTATCAACGAGCAACTGGCAAAATGCAGACCTGACTCGGTAGTGGAGCCCCTAGCGTCCGCAACGCATCTGGCCGACTGGCGTTTTAAAATATTCAAATTTTTATATTGTAAGAAGGGTCTCTCATTTGCATAGCGCACATCTGGGCCGCGCCCGAGACAACTACCCTAAAAAATATAATTTTGTACCCTTTCGCTCGGGGGGCCCCACGAATGAAATATCGCCCCCCCCCCTTTTTACGGTTTTAATGGGTTTTATCACCCTTTTGTAGGCGATTTTAATTTAGCGACCCCCGGATTATCCGAGAGCGATATATTCTTTGTGCGCTTTGCATACGGTGAATTTTTTATTTTTCGCTTTCGTCGAGCCGCGTTGTCGGTTTTACCGAAATCGTTTTCCTTCATTTTCTTCGCGGCAGCGGCGTTGCCAAGTGGACGTCGAAAACTTGAGTCGAACACATCGGGTGCTAATTTATTTTTTCTTTTAATACAAAATATATAATAAGATAAAGCTAATTTTGAAGGAATAATTGCGGGGGAATTTCATTCGATCTCGCACCTAAACATCAAATGGCATCAACCCTGCAGCGACCTATTTCTTCATCTCCATTGATTGGGAAGTGTTTGGTAGAGACCTCAGGTGATCCGAATGGAAAATACTTAGTCCGGTCCTGCGGCGTCGAAGAAAATGTCGCCTGCGAGAGACAAACGGTTGAAAAATCGGTTCACCGAGACCCGAAAAGCAGGTCACACACACACACACACGCACACGCAGGCTGGCACTCGGTGGTGTATTGAAAATAGGATGCAATAAAACGTTTTTAATGAAATTTCATAAGGCCGGCACACCGCACCCAAACGCACACACGTACGCGCGAGAGAACAATGCGACGAGACTCGGCGATAAATATTTATAAGGTTCTCGGGGGGATATTCAAGAAAAAAAAACGAGAAAACACTTACAAAACTGTCGATTATAGTTATTAAAACGTGGCGGATCGCTGATAAATGGAGACGCTTCTTCCTGATCGTTTCGTCTCCGTCTCGCGCCGATCTCACCGGTCGAGTGACGCTTTTGTTTTCGCCGGGGGAAGTAAATTTGGCGGAGGCGCCGGAGAATTCGGGAATCGTTTAAATACCCTTCCTCGAAGTGTTTGCTTTTCGAATGGCAACCCGACAAGCGTTATCTTTTTTTTATGTTACAATGTTACAGTGTTAAAACACAGGACTTCCGTGGTCTTTATTTTATTTAATTCCACAGACACAACGTTTCAGGTGAGGTACTTTCTGCATAGCTCAACAAGTTAAAGATAAGTTTTATACTGTGGATGATGTTACTCACTCTCTCCACTGATAGTGAATATTTTTTAACCTGATATGTTGACGATACCTCAATAACCTGAAATGAGAAAGAAAAAAGCTCCTAGTGTTAGTTAGATAAAAACAACGAACATTGCCCGTCTGAAAGTATTGCCTATTTAGCATTTAAATTAATTTTCCCAGATATACGGCCGAAATCGTAAACTTCCTAACAAATTTTTTTTTTGCGTGTGGCCCGCAAAAACATATCGGGATGTAAACGGGGGCCGGGATATTTTCCTGCAGGATCAGTTCAATATGTCGAACCATAGAAATTTTTCTTGATTCAGATATGTTAAGTCAAGCCAAAGGGCAACCTATAAGTATATCGTAAATGTATCTTAGATATACTTATTTTAACTTAGCCCCTGTGCTCGATGGCGGATGGACTCATTCGGGTCTTTCTCAATGGTACGCTCTACAGCAGCAATAGCTTCTTCTGTATGCACCGTACGGCGTCTCTGGGGATGCGAGTTATCAATAAGAGTAAACGTGGTGCGAAAACGTTCCATGGTTAATCGAATTAATTGCTCTGATGGACGATTTTGTCGACGATAAAATGGACGCAGTGCGCGATACGTATTCCGCACAGAACCATTATTTTCGAAATAAAATTGCAGTATTTGCAAGCGTTGTTCAGGCATGAAAAATTGCCAAACCAAACTGAGAACAAATCACTTGACAGCTGTTAAATCGGTCGCCATCTTGAACAGTAATGCCAACTTAAAGTTCAATACATCGAAAAAAAACACCCATTATAAGTAGTTTGCATCCGCATATCCTAACTTTCGTTTTGGTTTTAGGTCTCTGGCATACTTGCCAATTTCAAGGTCATTAAAGGGCAACAATAAATAAATAACTTTTGCCTAAAACCTTTTTTTTACTTTCCTTAATTTCTGTTTAATTCTATTGTTATTTGAAATGGTTTTGAGTAAATATACAAGATTAAAAGTTATTTCGATATAGATATAATCGATATCGAACATCCTAAAGTTCTCCGGCAATTAGACAGCCCACCGCACGAGCTTTCGGAAGCTCGACCGTAGTTGCCGGCCCATGCCTCCGCGTCCCTCTAGCGGTAGACGCGGGCAAATTGAAAAGTACCCGACGAAGATATAATTGTGCCTTATAAGGCTCAGCGTACCGTGTAGGCCGTGTGGCTGGCGTCTTAAATCATATTTTCAATAAAATCGTTTTTTTTGCCGCCGCTTTAATGCGTTCCCGCTAAAAACCTAACCTAACAATTTATTGCGAGGCGGCAATAAAATTTTACAGGCGGTGGCAGTAAATTTTAAAACTCGATCGGGAAAACGGAAGATTTTATCGCTGTAGGTATCGTTGGGGGGGGGGGGCGGAAGAGTTCCGTCCCCCCTCGCAGTAATTTCTCAAAATATGTCGAAATCCCATTAAACTTTCAGGCAAAAATGGGATTAAGGTGTAGAAAGTGTTGCTAAAAAAATTAGCGACAAGTGCAGAATTAATATTATGCTGAATTAGAGTACACGAATCGACGTCTTTAGTATAATTCTGTAAGTATTTTAACGTTTTGGTTCTTTAAGCGCTATAGACCCATTACCAGCTAATTTTTCCCGAATTTGTGCCCGCAAATCGGAGCAAGCAGTGTGTTTTTATAAACTTATTGGTTTAACTTCTATTGAAAATGAAAATAAAGTCGATTTCACGAAATGCGACTCTAGAAACCACTTTTAAATTAACTTGTACATAAGGCAACACTTACCCGTATATAGGCACATTATTTTCCTTACAGTTTCGACCACAAACAAAACAAGTTTTTCGCAAAAGCACGAAAAAGGTACGGAGAGAATCATAACCACCAAAAATGTAAACAACAAAAGCACAGACTATTAGTAGTCTCTGGCAACGGCAGTTCCTAGTTCGGCGTTGCCAATTATATTCGAATTTCAGAGACGGATTTTGAGTTCTTGTGAAAATTAGTTCATTTTTTCAGAAAAATTACGCAAATATGGCAACTCAGTTAGTTCGGCCGTGACGCATGCGCAAAAGATCCATACCTTATCTACGAAAATATCATAGCCACCTGCGGCGCCTCACCACCGTAGTAGGGCCACTATATTATCTTATAGCTATATGGTATTCGCTGATAGGCTTGCAACATTGGATACCTTACCTAGTGTTATTACCAGTTATTAATTGAAATACGCAATTTAACATCAAACAACAAACAACAAAATTATTTAAATGAAGCCAATATTGAGACCTTGGACTGACCTACACGCACCTTAACTCAATAGAATATTTATTATTTATACTTATGGGCGGATATTTTAGAGATCATCAACCCCACCTCCCTCCTTGGAAGGTGTAGGGGAGGAAACACCCGACTTTGTGTTTTTAATTATTTTATTTTAATTATGTCAGACGCCTAATAGTGTTAAAGGAAATTCATGTGACAAACATTAAGTATTGAACTGGGTTCACTTTAAATACTGAAGGTAAAATACATTGGTTAAGGCTTTCGCGGCCCGTTGATAAACTATTATCTTGATTCGGGTTTAAAGGCCGTCGTCGGTTGGAATTACTTCCTAACGTTTCGCTAGCACGAGTGGCGAGCTTCTTCAGAGGTCCTTCCATCTCCGATGTTGGACGTAGACTGTCTATCCAACAATCATTACATTGTTACATTTTTTGTTGTTTTTGTTATAAGCAACAATACTTTTTTATTCTTTTACCTAAAACTAATATTCTAAACTAATTACATATTACTAATTATTTATATTGAAAATGAATGAAATAACAATTTTTTTACATTCGCTCAATATATTTCCAGAAATACTTAATTACAGTTGCCTTTTTTTTTCGTTTAACCTCGCCCTTTCCCATTTTTTTCAGGAATGTTTCCGGGTTTATGTTGGCAACAATGGCAACCGTCACGTCAGGGATACTATCGCCGAACTCGTACGTCCTGAATGCAGGTAAGCGCGGCGTCGACGACGAATTGGTCGTGCGAGCCGGATTCCCGTAGCCGGGCTCCGTCTGCCCGCGCCGTTTTTACCGAAAATATTTCCGCCGTTCAAAACGTGTCCGTTTTAGTAAATTTTAATAAAAAAAAAGTCGCTGGAATTCCGCCCGTCCGACGGACAGAAATAATTAAAATTTAACTTCTCGGAATCGAAATGTGCGCGCGGCTTAGAGAAACCGAAATCGAGTCCTTTTCGGCTTTTTGCCCGTCCCGCATTGTGCCGACTTCTTGTGTATACGATTCTTCTGGTTATTAGTCGAGTTTTTCGCATATCCGCCGCGAAGATGTTTTTCTCGTCGTTTCCCGAACTATCCCGACGTTCCGATGCGTTTTAAAAATTTCAACCACTTTTTCATATACCATGTATACTTAACATATAGCCGTTTCTACAATTCGGGAAGCAACTACGATGACAAAGGATATGTTTGTTCTGATCGTAAACACGCCTAGCTGCAACTTTTGTTTCACCACGTATATCACGTCTAAAAAGAAAGGGGAAAAGAGCCGAATGTCAGATTTCACTGAAAAAAGTCTGAGTAAAGTTTTTTTTCACTTTTTTTCAACTAGGATTTTACTTTTTTAGTGAATATTTTTTTTTTGGAATATCGTTTTTTTTTTTCAAACAAACCGTACGTGATACAAATAAATGCATAGAATTTTTGACCAAAATTATATACAGTCCGTTTTCAAAATAAAAACCTCTATCAAAAAGTTTAATTTTGTAGACCTGTGCTATACAGAGTTATATTAAATCGAAAAAGATCACAACACAACTTAATTGATTTCTTAACTAACACCAACTTTTCTTCTTCCTCGTATATTACTTCCGTTGTTAGCAAATACCTCAAGACCAAACCAACCTTCAAGGGTACACGCCCCTTCCACTGGGTTTGTTTTGACAAGTGGTAGTTGGATTTAAACACTGCGATACCGACATTGACTAATTTCACGCCCAATCAATTTACGTGATCACCTAAATTGTTCACTGTTTCTTAGGGTAAGACAAATTGCGATACGCCACTGCTACGCAAGGCGACGGTCGTTTACAGCGTTGCCGTTCTCTACTTTGCACACCTCTTTATAATCCACGTGAAAATGGTTTGGCTCAATTTTCATGTTTCTTCTACATCGAAGCGAGACAACCAAACCGCGGGGTTTCGAGCCTTAACAAACTGGTAAACAGCAACGTTTGGTGTATTTAACGGTGTCGAGACGCGGTTGCACAGTCCTAAGTGTTAGGCAAACATACACGCATCTCGCGGTGTTGACTGAAAAACCAGCGTGGTCAAAAAAAATATACACCCGACCGACGTCCATAAGGCGCTATAATTACAAAACAAACACTGACAACTAAATACTGAAATACGAAAAATAATGTTAGCGGCGTGCGGTCACTTTCCGCTCTGATCGGGGCCCGTCTCTGTATTGTCCTCCATAGTCTATATACTCTTCCAGATTATCGGTTTTCCACCTAATTGTTGCTTCTTCCTTTCTCACAATCCAGCTATCCCAAGCGCCGCTTTTCCAAGTGCCACCAAACCACCTTATCTTAGTTTCACGTCTTTCTTTTCCAGATGCCGTCGCTTTGAAACTGTCCCACCAAGAGGCCATGGACTCGTACCACCACCGTCACGCGTACCAGCAGGAACCCCAGACCGGGTTCGGGTCCAACGCGAACTCTAGCGACTCAGAGCAAGAGGTGCCGTACACTCCGAGCTCGCCGAAAACTCACGCGTCGGAACCAAAGCGAAACAAGCGGAAAAACTTCAAGCCGCGGTGCAGTCAGAACGTACCCTCCGAAGAAGAGGTCCACTCGGGCGACTACCACGAAAACAACAACGTCAACAACAATGTGAGGAGGAGGAAAGCGCTGGTGGGACCGAGGAGGCTGGTCGTGGAGAGCGCGTACAGTCCGATGGACTTGAGCGGCTCGCGAACTCAGGACTCAGAGAGTCAGCGGTCTGATAATTCGGATTCGGATGACTTCAATACGGATAATTACCGGACGAGATCGGATAACGAGGAGGAGGAGGAGGAGGAGGAGCCCTCGAAGATCCCGACGAGTTTTTCGATCCACAACTTGTCGAAGCCTCACGTGTCTGATCAGGGCTTGAGTCAGAATCTGAGCCCGGATCAGATCGCGGAGATGCGGAACTATGCGGTGAACACGATGAGGGAGTTGTTGGGCATCTACGGGCTTACCTCAGAGGTGGCGGAGAGTATATCTAGACAGCTTCCTTTGGCTGCTTTCAGTACCGGTAAGTAGGGTGGGTGTGAAGGGGATATTGATGTGGTGTTGCCCTTCATTTTCTTCAGCGAATACGCAATTCTTCTTCAAGCCAATTTACTGTATTCCATTTCTAATGGGTGCAGAGTAATAAAACTTCGTTGTAATATACAAAAGGACAATATGGCGACCAACACGCAAATTCAATGGTTTTGGTTAGTGCAGGTAGGACCACTGGGAAAAGCGTGTCGAAAGAAATTAGATCAATTTTTTTTAACAAGTAAAATGTGTTACATTGCTAGGTCCGTAATAGAAAATAATTTTATACCTGCCTGTGTTTAATATTCTTTGGTTTGGTATACTACTTAGTCTAGTGTATCTCAGGAGATGCTCCCGCCTAAATGTAGAAAACACTTTTCTATTGAGACTAAGGACAATGTTTATTTGGTTCTCATTGAACGGGGTGCCAGCAAGCAAGCATCTTTAGAAGAAACGGTCACATTCACCTTTTAGAATTCGGAAATGGCGAAAATTAGGATTTACAGAGAACAACAAAGGCCAATTATTTACTTGGATGAAACCTGGTTCGACACTTATGATACCCCGGAAAAGGGCTGGGTTGACTCAACTGATAAATGCAAAACAAACCCGCTATCAAAAAGAGAAAAAAGAATAACTATTTTGCATGCTGGCTCTAAGGATGGTTGGATTCCAAATGGACTTTCTCTGTTTGCGAAAAATATTAAAGATTCTTCTCTGGATTACCATGGAGACACCAGTGTTGATTTATTTGAAAGTACTTCTATAATAACGACATTTATTTTCACGAAGATTATACCAAAAAGCAAATGATTGAATTTCTACAGTGCTTGAACCTACAAAAGGAATAGGTCTGTGATAATTATGCAAAAAATCTGGGGCATACAGTTTTAAGGCTTCTCACCTTACCACTGTATATTTAATCCCATTGAACATGTTTGGCACCAACTGAAATCTGCCATTCGTCGTAACAACGTTTTTCCAATGTCCTCAAACTTATAGAAACCGAAGTTTTTCACCATCCAACAATAGTATATCCATATTGCAAATGATATAGAACAAATAATAATTAGAACAGGCGATGATAGCGATAGTGATGCTAATATATTATGTGAATAATTTTAAGTAATTTACGTAGGTAATAAAAATACTTTGTAATTTTATTTTAGATTTAAACAAAAATACGCACATAAATAAATAAACATTGTTTAGTATCTTTCTTAACGAAACTCCAAATAATTAAATTCCGAGCTTCTTCTTACAGCTTGCCCGGGTTTTTCCTTAATTTTTTGGCAATTTTGGCTTTAGGGAGACGCATGTGAAATGGCATAGTGTTCCGGGAGAGGGGTAGAGGGGTCACTTTGTAATTAATTTGAGAAATACACTTATTAGACGCAGTTTTCTTCGATATTTCATATTGAACCATTTGCATTCAGTCAACCTGTACACTTCTTGTACACTACTTCTGCATAATGAAAGTGTTATGTTACTAATGTCGTTATTACTGTTGACCCTACAAAAATTTTTAATCGAATGATTTTATGGGTTAATTGTCTACCCGTGCCCTTAGAAAACCCTTAAATTTATTCGTACCGAACGAAATCCCTAATTTTATGACTCCGCACCGCTTCGAAACAGACTTTAACTTGACGTTAGTGGACGACGGCAAGTTAGGAGCGTTGTGAACAAGCGGCGTTGCCGGCTCGCGAAAGCGTCTAGCGCGACGATTATTCCTAACCAGCCATTTACGAATATTGTGTCCCGTGCTTCTTAACAATGAAGTCGACCGGGCGTTCAATAATGTCGCAATCTCGTTTGAAAAGACCTAAACCAGTTTTCATTATGTACGGCGACACACACACACACACACACACACACGCATGTAAAGTAACCGAAAAAAATATCAAGAGAGTTATTGAGTTGTCTCGCGAAAGACAATTTTGTTGTGATATGGTTATATTGGTTCGAGGCGATATTTCTGTCTTGTTTCGAATTCCGCAGAATTTATGGACCTGATTAATGTCGGGCGTATACAGGCCGTCCCCGAATTCGATTCCTGTGTATTTTCTTTTTCGTTTTTATGTTAATTGTTCTCGTCATCTTTGTTTTTATCCTCGTTTCGCGGTCCGTGTGTTTTGATCGGCAGATGAAGCGGGACACCAAGAAGTTATCTAGTTTTCTTCGCCTTTGTCGGTGGCGTTGGATTTTTTTTCCATAACCCCGGCCTTGTTATTCAGGGTGCGAATGTAAAGCAGGCGAACATTCCATTTTTGGCGAAGGATTCGGAAAATATGCCTAGTCTCGCGAAATTGTTTTTGGTTGGAATTTCAAAATTCTACAATTCTACAATTCAAAACTACTTTGCCATGAAAAAAAATTGGTACAACAAAATACAACTAGTTATTTAATTACAAATACTAATGATAAATTATGTGGCAACTTTGACATGCACAGAAATTATGTTTACCCGTTCGTGAAGGAACTAAAACGAAAACTAGTTTCATAAATCTGACATTCTGTATATTGTTTTAGCGGTTTTTCTTCATTTTGTTATTCTGTTAAGCTTTAGACATATTCTTTTTGGTCAAGCTATTCGCTGTTACGTTCGAATGCGAGGTATTTGCGTATATCTAAGAAACATAACTGTGCAATGTTAACAATCAGAGATTCTTTCTTTGAAAGATCCTTGTTGACTTTCTATTACGCCTCAGCATACTCGTCTATTTCATATAATATCGTAAACTGGGGACAAGCGAGTGATGCGGAGAGGGTGTTCATTCAGCAAAAAAGGATGCTTTTCAGACTGCCCCCGAGGCCATCCTGCAAAGATATATTTATAAAGTATAAAATACTAACAGTGCCTTGCATATACTTATTTAAATCATTCGTCATCGTTCATAAAAATAAAGGCTCTCACAATAAACACACGGATGTCCACGGTTATAACACCCGAAACACCTTCTAAAGCCAAGACTGAACCACATGTTCTACAAAAAGTCGCTAAACTACGCAGGACCTTATTAATATAATTTGCTTCCTACAAGCATAAAAGCATTATCTACAAGACAATTTAAAAAGTGCATCAGAAAGCTTCCGTCAAGCAATGCTTTCTACGACCTGAACGAATTTGAAACATATATTACAGGAGTGCCCTGATTAGTTTAGTGATATTTTCTCTACATTTTGTCAATATGTTTGTACTGTTTGTACATCCGTTTGTAACTGTTCTATACTGTACTGTTAAACGTGTGTTATCGTATTGTTTATATACATAATTCCATGTATCTTTATACTACTTTATATTGTACTTGTTTCCTGACGAAACATCCACTGTATACATACTGGGCTTTGTGAATAAAACTATCTATCTATAACTAAGTTCAGAGAGAGAATTCTGAGATCATCCGAATCTTGTTTTTTATTCATACATTTGTTATATTTCCGACACTGCTTTTACTTTTATATGTTTTCATATTTCCCTTTTTGTTATTTATTTCTATTGTTTCAACTTTACTTTTTTCTTTGAATTCGATTTCTAGACCTTTTTTGTAATAGTTGGAGCACAGAGGCTGAGGAGCGTTCATATTAATTATTGTGTTGATTTCTCTATTTATGTATTTATTTCTGGGCTGTTCCTTTTTAACAGAACGTCGTGGCAAAAAAAAAAACGTATCGAACGAGCCGGAACGGGAAGGTGCGTACCTTGAGTCTATTGTGTGTGCGTAAGCGACATTCTTGACGAATTTATTCAAGAATTAAAGGCTAGATGGATATTAGAGGCGCGCGCACAACTATCCGAGACGTATTTTAAATACAATGACTGGCGACGACGCCGCACCCATGTCTTTAAAAAATTTAAACGGCATATTGAAATTACCCGTAAAATTAGTTTAAAATGACGGCGTTTTCTTCGATCGGATGAACTGACACGCATTTAGAAGTTTCGATTTCGGAAATCCGATCTTCGCTGTCGAGTTTTAATTTATTTTTTCACCGAACGTCGAAAGCGATTCCAAAAAGATTTTTTTTTAATATTGGTTAATTTTTCTATTTTTGAATTTGCCGATTAATTTGTAATTAATTAGTTGGTAATTTATTGAGTAGTCAATGATTCTTTATTTATTAATTTTATTATTTTATCTGATATCTCTATCTCAGTTTGCGAAGTTTTTGAAAAATCAATTCCATAGTTCAAATATTTATTACCTAGTTTGTAAATTTAATGTTTCTTCGGGAAAATGGCAACCATAACGGTATATGTTTTAAAATAGTCGTTTTAAGCGTATTGAAACTAATAAAAAAATTAAAAATTCTATTGGATTCACTAAAAGATGTCCAGTGTGCGTATGTTAATTCTTTCACGTACGGATAGGCACATAAGAATTTATGAATACACATGAACACCTCGCGGTTTGTGTCTTTTATATTTCCTCTTCTGTTCTTGCGTAAATATTAATTTTGCATTTATTTTTTCTTTATAATAATTGCTTAGGTATCCTTCTAGGTGGCCTGTTTCTAAACAAAAACTGTCGAAAAGGGTGGCATTAAAAAAAACTTATATACGGGGGTCTAAAATACAGATCTAACATGCAAGATGTACCATTTAGCATTGAATATTTTTATCTTATCGAACGTATTTTTTTTTTATTTGATAAATGATTGAAAAAAATATGAACATTTCCGCCAGTGAACTTATTGACACGTTTAAAATAGACACGAAGTAAGGTAAAACTAAAACTAAACTAAAATTATTAATAATAAAAAGGAAACGCATCCAAAAAAATATACGCCACATTTTCATCTTAAAATTGGGTGAGAGTTACCCTCCTTCTTTTTGTCGAAGAGTTGAGTGCGGGGCGAGACTCGAATTTCCCTAGAAATCCGGCTACCCCGGACGGGCCGCGCCGAGAGCCTTGCGGAACCCTTTCCGCGTCAACGCATTCAAACCGCCCGCCGCAGCTGTGCACACACCGCGACCGGCCACTTTATGGA